CGACGAAAAAAGTACAACTTCTCATTGCCATGATCATTTGTTGAAGAAGCTTACATTTGCATATGGTCGTCGGCAAGTTCTAGGGTTAAATTAAAGGCACAACAAAAAAAAAATGGAGAGCAAGCAAAAGTGTTGCTGGTTGGTTGCTAATACCTTCATAAGTAGTTGATTGCCATTCCCTGCGAGCACTGCATTGCCATACAAAACCAAAAGTAAAATTCTAGTCCAACAAACAAGATTTTCTATTAAAGTTTCAGACAGTCCCTATGGTTCGTGCGCCAAAGGAGAAGGAAAAACGTAAACCACTTGCCTTCTGTTAACCACTTCATTGTCATGTGATCAAAAAGGGAGTTCTGACTTCAAAGAAGTAATTTACATCTTGAAAATGACCAAAGTTCTTGTTGGAGGATACAACCAATCTAACAGACAAACAGACAGCACCGAATCGGACAGCAGAGGACAAGCGAACATGCACCACTTGGTGTGGACGGAAAGAGAAAACTCTGAAGACGACTACGAAGAACCAAAGAGTCTGCAAGTATTGTGATTGCGTTTAATCACAACACAAGTACAAATTGCATGTCATTAAAACTGATTAGAATTTATGGAATGGGTCCTTGGATGGGCCAGACAATTGCCTTTAAATGAATTGTGATGGCTGTTGTTGGGTTTGCTTTGGTTGGATCGCATCGTTGTTGATCATAAGGGGCGTTGTTATGACTCTGATCGCACTTGGGCCACATCAAATTGAAATCCTAAGAAGGGTCTATTAATTGGCGTTCAGTTAGAGAGAGAGAGTTCAGCAAATGAATTGCAAATTGTGTAATTGAAAATTATTTGACATTTGAAGGAATGCAATGGGCATATGACATGCGGCATTCTTAAGTTGCATAACGAGAGTAAAAATGTGAATTTATTTTGATATGTGAGGGAGGATCAGGTTTTCTAAGAATATATTTACTTTTAAATATTTTCAGCACCAAAAATGATCAAGGTATTTATACAAATTGAATTGTACATATGGTCTGGATATCAGGTTTCAGGTTTCACAGTTGAATTGGGAGAAGTTATATCAGGATACTGGAAATCGAAGTTATCCTTATAAGGCGACTATTCCACAAGTGGATATGACCCATTTTCTGTACCAATGGTTCTAGGTGTAATCCAAAGATCTCAATCACATTTTAAAGCTCAGTACAAAATATTATGAAATTTATGACAAACTATAGGGTCCCCATATTTGAAATATGGGTTATGCTTACAAGGCGACTAATCTAAAATGTGCACCGATATGACACATTTTCTATACCAATGATTCTAGCTGTAAACCAATGGTCTCTATCAAATGTCAAAGCCTATCCTAGATATTGCGAAATACAGGCTAAGATAAAAAAAACTGCAACCAACTTCAGACTGCTGTCATTTCAAAGCCCCTCGTCCGACAACTGTTAAAATTATTCCAGTGACAGCTCATTCCAGGGTGAGATGACAAAACTTAAACCAATTTAAGACTGCTGTCATTTCTAAGCCACTCGTCCGGCAGTTGTTAAAATTATTCCAGTGACAGATCATTATATTGTTTACAAGAATACAAAAGCATTTTTGTGAGAATTTTCCGAAAAAAGGATTATTCATGATGGAATTCAAGCGTGATAGTGTGATTTCTTTATATTTGGCTTTCCACAAATGGCTATCGTTAGAGCACTCCAGCCTTAAAACGTAAATAGATCTTTTGTGCCTCGTATCATCGCTCGTTTCCGTGACACTGGTGGCATAGCCCGACAGCAAGAAACTGCACAGAAGAAAAGGATAGGCGTCTTGATCGAAACCCGCATTGCGTCACAGTGGCCGAAAAATGGCTCGTGAGCTGAACATATCGCAATATTCCATTCGGCAAATATTGAAAAATAAGTTTGGGGTAAATCCATTGATATTCCAAAAAGTGTAAGAACTTACACCGCAACAGAATGAGGTAACGAGTTGCTTCGTTTGGCCGAATGTGGTGAACTGCCGAATTTGGTTTTCTCCGATGAGAAAACATTCGTTGTCCAGCAGTTCGTAAACTTGCCAAAGAGGTCAGCTGAAAATGTGCACCCTCGGCTGGCCACCAGAACTTAAGCGTTGGCCAAAGTGATGGTGTGGGCCCCCATAACTGCCGATGGTCATTCTCTGCTAGCATTAATGCGCCGTGGCATCAGAATAAATGCCGAATATTATCGCGAAAATATTCTGGAGGGTGTATTAAAGCCTCGGGCACGCAATCATGTTGGCCGCAGACCTTGCACAGGACTCAGCACAATCGCACTCAGCCCGCTCTATCCAAGAATGGTTACAAAATGAGGTTCCTCGCTTCATTTCCATTACGACGTGGACCTACATAGGCATTGTTTGTCAGAAGTCATTACCATATTCAAATTCGAAACTTGAAATAAACGGTGAATAATGTAGCTAAAATCATCAAAATATCGTATATAGGGAGGTACCGTTATGTCGGAGCTGTGTGAAGACCTGGACCAGCATAGACAATTTTCTGTCATAAGCTGTAGCATCCATTACGAACTTCAAATACGCGTCTTAAACAATTGCATATAGAATTTTCTATCACAGATTGCAGTTCCCATTACGAAATCTAAATACGTAATTTGAAACAGTTCCGGTGAATAATGACGCTAAAATCATCAAAATACCGAATTTTGGGAGGTACCGTTATATGGGGGCTATACGAAGACGTGGACCTGCACAGACAATTTTCTGTCATAGGCTGTAGTATTCATTACGAATCTCAAATACCAAATTTGACAAAAAATCCTGTGAATAATGTCCTTAAAATCTTCAAAATACCGAATATCGGGAGGTACCGTTATATGGGAGCTATACGAAGACGTGGACCTGCACAGACAATTTTCTGTCATAGGCTGTAGCATTCTATACGAACTTCAAATACGCGTCTCAAACAATTTCGGTGGGTGTTGCATAGAAAATTGTCTATCACAGGCTGTAGTTCCCATTACGAACTCTAACTACGTAATTTGAAACAGTTCCGGTGAATAATGACGCTAAAATCATCAAAATACCGAATTTTGGGAGGTACCGTTATATGGGGGCTATACTAAGACGTGGACCTGCACAGACAATTTTTTGTGTTAGGCTGTAGTATTCATTACGAATCTTAAATACCAAATTTGAAACAATTCCGGTGAATAATGTCCCTAAAATCATCAAAATACCGAATATCAGGATGTTCCGTTATATGAGGGCTGTCTTAGGCTGTAGTATCCATTTCGAACTTCAAATACTAAATTTGAAATAATTTCGGTGAATAATGCCGCTAAAATGATCAAAATACCGAATATCGGGAGGTACCGTTATATGGGGGCTATATGAAAACGTTGACCTACATGGCCCATTTACAAAATTAACCTGCCTACTGGAAAAATAAGCACGTGTGCAAAATTTTAGCCCTCTATCTTAATTCGTTCGAAAGATAGCGTGATTATAACAGACAGATGGACAGACAGACAGACGGACAGACAGACAGACTCTAGCTAGCTAAAATCACCAATATACCGAATATCGGAAGATACCGTTATTTGGGGGCTATACCAAAACGTGGACCTACATGTCCCATTTTTAATACCAAAATTCCTGCAGACATAATATACATTAGAATAATGTTTTATCAACCTAATTCATTTTGTTCGGAAGCTAGAGTGATTTCCACAAACGGACGGACATTGCTAAATCGACAAAGAGTTTAATGCTGATCAAGAATATATAAATTTTATGGGGTGTAAAACGTGTATTTCGAGGTGACAAACTTAATATACCCTCCATACTATGGTGGAGGGTATAGAAAGATAAAAATCTTTCATGTCATCTGTGCGGCAGAACGCTTTTAGTTGATTTAGTTTGAAAAGTCAAAATCTCAAAATCAAGTTTTGATTGTTGGAAAAACGGGAAAAAATCGATTTTTGTTTTCCACTTTCCCTACCTCCAAATCTGTAATCTGAATCCTTTAAAAAATTAAACAAGGATCTTTAATTGTTTATTTAAGGCCAAAGTCTAAGACTCTAAATGCCGAATTTTGTTTTCGGCTACGTATCTCTGCATTATGGTACACTTTGAAGTCCGATAACCATAACTCCATAACTCAGCAATTCAATTTTATGGGATATAATTTAATTGATTTGTGACACACTATAACGCCATAGCCATAACCCTAACCGTAGATACCAATTGAATTTTGGTTTACTGTCGTAACCATAACCAAACAACTACAAAGTATAAATATCTGGATCAGCGTAAAATTCTAAGACGATCTAGTTCCGCCTGTCCGTCTGTCAGTCTGTCTGTCTATTGTAATCAAGCTATCTTTCGAACGAATTGAGATAGAAGGCGAAAATTTTGCACACATGTTTATTTTGCCAGTAGGCAGGTTAAGTTCGCAAATGAGCCATGTCGGTCGACGTTTTCCTTTAGCCCTCATATAACCGTACCTCCCGATAGTCGGTATTTTGATGATTTCAGCAACATTGTTCACGAGAATCGTTTCAAGTTTCGTATTGGAAGATATTGATGGGTACTACAACCTATTGCAAAAATTTCGTATACAGATCCACGTCTTCGTATAGCCCCCGTCTTCGTCTTCGTATAGTCCCCATGTAACGGTTTTCAATTAAGTGGTAGTTTTCGGATTTTTTTTTTTAAATTTTCAAGTTCCTTCCAAACGGTGGAGGGTTGGTTATGGCCGGTTCCATGGAAAAAAAAAACCAGGAAGATGTCATCCACCCCTCTCCCCCCAAAATTTAGACTCGATGTATTTTTGATTCGTTTTTAACGTCTGACTTTCAAATTTAACCTTTGAACACCAAATCAAGGCTTCAGCATACGGAAGAGAAGAAAAATGCTACAACAACAACAAAACAGCAAATTCTTACAACTAGTGAAATAACCATTAATCATCTCCTAAGACTTAGAAGAACTAAGTATGGCCAACTTACCATTTCCAGCTACTAAGGCAGCAATGCGTTCCTTAACACTTAAAGGTGTACTACTATTATTATGGGTGGCGGGGGAGGTGGTATTGTTGTTCACAGAGGGAGTTATTGTCGGAGTAAAACACTTGTTGTTGTTGTTGGCAGGTTTATTCTCTTTAGAGGCCACCACAGCCGATGCCGCCTCCGAATCATGTTGGTGTTTCGAGGAGTTTCTCGTTGGCGCTGATGTTGTAAAGGCCAATGATTTTTCCAGTGTAATCAAGGCATTGCTGGAGGGGGAGGTGGGCGAGGGCATTGTTGCCGCCATTGTAGCTGTCGTCTCATTAGCTGGACTACGCTTGACCATTGTTGTTTTAATCACAGTTGTTGTTAGAGGTGATGAAGGAGTGTTGTTGTTGGAACGTGTTAGGGGTGAGGTGGGTAGGCAAGTGGTGGAAGTTGTTGCTGAGGCCGTGGTAGTTGCCAGCCTTAACGAAGTTGGTGGCATTAGGGTTCTGGAGGTTGGTGTTGTTGCTTTTGCTGGCAATGGACCACAGTTTTCCGGCGGGACAACCATATTGCGTTGAAAATCATTGCAAACATTTGTAGTTGTTGTTGTCGGAGGTGGTGTTGTTGTTGTTGTTGCTGCGGCCTGTGTTATTGTCATTTTTTGATTAGCTCGAATGTTTGTGTCTTCTAGACTCTGTTGTAGTTGTGAGAAGTTGCGACAGCTTTCATTAAAACAAAATTGACAATTGTTGCAATGATGTTGTTGTTGTTGTTGGGATTGGGGTTGGGGTTGGTGTTGCGTTGTGATTGTTGTTGTATTGCTAAGGTTCTCTTTCTTACTTAAACTAGGTTTAAATTCACTTAATTCACTAAGTCTTTGGATTGTTGGTGATGTTTTTGTTGCTGTTACGGCAATTGTTGTTGTTGTTGTGGATTTTGTTTTTTGTTCATTTGCTGTATTTAGGTTTGTAAGCGTATCGCTTGGCAGATTCTCAGCATGCCGTGTCTCCTTACACTTAATGGTGTTGGCAGCATTACTGCTGTCCTCTTCATCGCCACTTAAAGGCTGGTCGACACACAACAATTGCTGCAGTTTCTCTGTTGGTCGTTGATTTGCCTGATTCCCTTGAGGCTGCTGATGTTCTTTACGGTTAATGTTCAGCTGGTTCTGGTTGTGGACTATAAAGCTCGCTTCCTCTTCTGTTGGGTTTGAACATCTGCTTTTATAAACGTCGTTGGATTTTCGTTCGTCTTGTTGTTGTTGTTGCTGCTGTTCTTCGTTCTTGGTCGTTAGACAATTATTTCGATTGTTATGACAGCTTTTGTCATGCCGCCATACTTTTTCCTTCTCTATGTTAACTTTTTCAAAGCTTTCGCCGCAGCTACTGTTCTTGGCAGGAGTATTGCTTGGGGCTATCTCTACAATATCATCATAATCATTGGTGGTGGATTTTGAGGCTGTCACTTGATTTCTACGATTCTCCTTGGGCACATCAATAACAGTTAAAATGGCTTTCTTGTTGTTGTCATAGCGTTTGGATTTCTTGGCACTTGGCCAACTTTCAGCTCGTTTATAATTTTTACTATCAAAAGATATAAGTTCTTCGTAACCGGGATCGTCTAATTCGTTGTTATCTTCGTCGTCGTCTTCGTTGTTTTTGCCGTCTTCGTTTTCGTTGGCGGCATCAATGAAATTGAAATCGTTGTCAACAAAAATATTGCGCACATGCAGTGTTGTTGTCAGCTTGGGCTGTTTCAAATTGTAGCGGCGACGATTGGGGCAACAGCAAAATTTCGTGGCTTTAGGTGAGGTGGGTGAGGAGAGGGCCGGTAATATTGTAGCACCATCCGTTGACGACGTCCATTTCTCTAACAGTGCCAATTCACGAGCATTGGACATTGTCGTATAGCCATGGAGTATGATTCTGAAAAAAATGCAGAAAAAAAAAAACAAATCAAAAAATAGAAAATCCAGATAAGATACCAGTAAAAAATAAAAATAATTAATGTTTGCCAAGGCAAAATGAAACAATGTCAAAAGATTAGAATCGAAGCAAAGAAGAATAAAATAAATAACATCAGCAAAACCGGGATAAGATTAATGAAGAAATGTCAAAAATATGAATGGAGGAAATGTTGCATTCTCACTTTCACATTGCTGGTGGTTTTTTGGAACAGACAGATTAATCGCAAAAAAATGGGATCATCTTTGATTACCAGAAACAAAAAAAAATGGAATTGGTATTAAAGATCTTCAAATGGAACAATACGAGAGACGAGATGGTGAAGTGAAGAAGACCAACGGGTCTTCCAATATGGAAGATCACAAGGTCTTCCAGTATAGAAGACCAGAAGGTCTGTTAGTATAGAAGACCAGAAGGTCTTCTAGTATAGCAGACCAGAAGGGCCTCTACTATAGAAGACCAAAAGGTCTTCCAGCATAGAAGTCCAAAAGGTTTTATAGTATACAAGATCAGAAGGTCTTCTACTATAGAATATCAGAAGGTCTTCTACTATAGAATATCAGAAGGTCTTCTACTATAGAAGACCAGAAGGTCTTCTACTATAGAAGACCAGAAGGTCTTCTACTATAGAAGACCAGAAGGTCTTCTACTATAGAAGACCAGAAGGTCTTCTACTATAGAAGACCAGAAGGTCTTCTACTATGGAATATCAGAAGGTCTTCTACTATAGAAGACCAGAAGGTCTTCTACTATAGAAGACCAGAAGATCTTCTACTATAGAAGACCAGAAGGTCTTCTACTATGGAATATAAAAAGGTCTCCTACTATAGAAGACCAGAAGGTCTTCTACTATAGAAGACCAGAAGGTCTTCTACTATAGAAGACCAGAAGGTCTTTTACTATAGAAGACCAGAAGGCCTTCTACTATAGAAGACCAGAAGGTCTTCTACTATAGAAGACCAGAAGGTCTTCTACTATAGAAGACCAGAAGGTCTTCTACTATAGAAGACCAGAAGGTCTTCTACTATAGAAGACCAGAAGGTCTTCTACTATAGAAGACCAGAAGGTCTTCTACTATAGAAGACAAGAAGGTCTTCTACTATAGAAGACCAGAAGGTCTTCTACTATAGAAGACCAGAAGGTCTTCTACTATAGAAGACCAGAAGGTCTTCTACTATAGAAGACCAGAAGGTCTTCTACTATAGAAGACCAGAAGGTCTTCTACTATAGAAGACCAGAAGGTCTTCTACTATAGAAGACCAGAAGGTCTTCTACTATAGAAGACCAGAAGGTCTTCTACTATAGAAGACCAGGAGGTCTTCTACTATAGAAGACCAGAAGGTCTTCTACTATAGAAGACCAGAATATCTTCTACTATAGAAGACCAGAAGGTCTTCTACTATAGAAGACCAAAGAATATTTTTTAAAATTTAAAAAATAAATAAAATCAAGGTTGTTTACACGTTGGGCGCCATTTCTGTATCCCAATCCACTATTTCTCACCACAGTGCCAACCAAAAATGCGGATACATTTTTAGAGAAAAAAAGCAAACCCTCGTAAAATTTCCCACAGAGCCATAATTGCTATTTCACACAAAATACTTTCGATACTCAAGCTTTTGCTATAAAAATTAAATCTCCGACAAACAAATTGAAAACCAAATAACTACGATGAAGAGGAAGAAAAACAAAAAGCTCCGCATAAAATGCCATAAAACTATGTTGTCCTTACTACAAGTTGTGATGAGTGCCAACGATGATGTGTTGGTGATGGAAGTGCTTTTTAGGCATTTACTGCGCATGCCTTCAAATGGCCATGTACACACACATATACAAATGTAGATTTCTTGTAACGCCATCTGGATGTCATGTCAGCACCAGTCAGCCAGTCTTGTCAAGCAAGCAGTCACTCACAGTCAGTCACACGCTCACAGTTCGCCTGCCCATTCATTTAGTTAAATTGAAAGTGTGACATACCATTAACCAGCAACATAAATAGACGACAAAACGGTTATCACACACACACGCACACACAAATATGTCTCCAACGGCCTCTATATGCAATCTTTTGATTGAACACAAGCGATGTGTGTAAAAAAAGGAGGCGTTTTTTTTTTGTTTCGATTGGCTTTTTAATTATGGACTCTAAGAAGGCATTCAACTATGCGGTTTTTGTACAAGCCAAGACTTTCTTACGACATTCATATCACACACACACACTTACATTGCCTTTAGGCTACATTAAATGCGGAAAAATTGTTATATGAAACACTTTCTTTTCTATGAAGAAAAGTGAAGTGAAGGAGACAACAAAAAACACCTCACAAAAGGTATTTTGATTAAATCAATGAGGTTTAAGGAAGGTGGCAAATATAGGGGGGATGATAATTGCAATACACAAGGATTTTTTTTTGATCTGTCATTTTACGGTTTTTAGCCATGACAATTTTCTTTTGACAGCAATCTCATCTGACCTAGGTATAAATTAACAATTTTAATTTTTCTTAAAATTTGGAGCATAACCTCAATTTGCCAAGCAATAACCTCAATTTATACCAGCAATGTCTGATCTATTTTGGCATCACCAATCCGATCAGAAGAATACCCCAAGGTAGTTGATTGGGCAGATGAAGAGCAAAAACTAATGATTAAGTGAATATTTCGCTTCGGAATGTAGCCTGCAGTTGTATGGCATTTCATTGGAATAGAGATGAAAATGGGAAAGAACATATGGGCAATTTTGGTGAAAAAAAACACACTGATTATGATCCGAATAAAATACATTTTGAAAAAAAAAAACACGGACTTAATGACCCCGCATTGGGCGCCATAGGTACTACAGACTACATATATCATAAGGCAGGAAAAAATGTCAGAATTTAAAAAAAAAAACTTATTGCAAATGATGCCCGTAGAGATAAATTTTAAAATATAAATGCAAAGACACAAGTCACTTGTATTTGTGTTGGTGCACAAGGGGTTAATTGAGAAACAATTTTTTTTTACCATTTTTTTTTTTTTGGATAAATCAACGTATTTTTAAATTAATTTAAATTAAATTAATTAATTAAATTAATTTAACAGGAAAATGACACAATTTCCCGACGAGTACGAATAACCAGAGTGGTGTTGGCGGTAGTGGCGGTTTCGGTAGGGAAACTGCATGGAAAATGCTGAATTGCACAAAAACTATGCTACCTGCGTCATTGAGGCGGGTCTTAAATGAAAGGTCTCGAGGAGTATTTTCTGGCTATATATGCCTTATATTCCCAACTGATTTTAGATAATCGATTTTTTTCGATTTCCTAACCAAAGTGGCGGTTTCGGTTTCGCATGGAAAATGCTGAATTGCACAAAAACTATGCTAGCTGCGTCTTTATATGAAGTGAGCCCTGCATTGGGCGCCATGCAACTATTTATTTAATAAACTCAAATAAAACCAAAATAAAAAACGCCTAAAAGAGGTAAACAATGTTGATTCCCACATTGGACGCCATAACTTACTGTTCAACATGAATGCTTTGCAAACGTATGGTAAGCCCCGCATTGGGCGCCATTTTTTTTTTTTTTTTTTTTTTTTTTGAAAAACACCTTATACAAATTGAGGGTGGGATAACAAATGCAATAGAGACAAATGCCATAATTTTTACATTTTTTTTATTTTAAATTTTATTGAATGAAAGCAAAACATTTCGAAAATAGCATCAAATTTTAGAATAAGTTTAGATTTGTTCGAATTGGTCACCTTTTACACCGTCACACGCTGCCGTGGTATTTTTGCTCTGTGGTATTTTGGCCCATTCCCGGAGAAGCGCTTGCTTGAGGTGATTGACACTTTGGTATTTTTTAGTGCCAACCTTGCTTTCCAAAATACTCCAGAAACAATATTCCAACGGATTGGTAACCGGAGGTTTAGGTGGCCATTGTACGCAGGAAATGAAGCGAGGAACCTCATTTTGTAACCATTTTGTGCGACGGCGCTGAGTCCTGTTGGAATGTCCAAGGTCTGGGGCCAAAATGTGCCCAAGAGTTCAAGGCTTTAATACACCCTCCAGAATATTTTGTTCAAGGCTTTAATACACCCTCCAGAATATTTTCGCAATAATATTCTGCATTTATTCTGATGCCGCCGTCGATTAATACGAGCGGAGAGCGACCATCGGCTGTTATGGGGGCCCACACCATCACCATTGCCGGTACTTGAGTTCTGGTGGCCAACCGAAGGTGCACATTTTCAGCTGACCACGACCATTTTGTTTGTTTACAAACTGCTGGACAACGAATGTTTTCTCATCGGAGAAAACCGAATTTGGCAGTTCACCACTTTCGGTCAAGCGAAGCAACTCTTTAGCTCTTTTGTGTCTATTTTCTCTCTGTTGCGGTGTAAGTTCTTGCACTTTTTGGAATTTCAATGGCTTTACCCCGAGCTAATTTTTCAATATTTGCCGAATGAAATATTGCGATAAGTTAAGCTCACGATCCATTTTTCGGCCACTGCGATGCGGGTTTCGATCAAGTCGCTTCTTTGTTTTTCCAACCATGATGTTGCTGTTTTGTCACGTCCACTACCTTGACGTCGGGCTACGCTACCAGTATCATGGTAACGAGCGATGGTACGAGACACAAAAGATTTATTTATTCACATTTAAATGCTGGAGTGCTCTAACGATAGCCACTTGTGGTTTTCCAGCCAAATATAAAGGAATCACACTATCACGCTTGAATTCCAATCACGAATAACTTTTTTTCTGGAAAATTCTCACCAAAATGCTTTTGTACGCTTGTAAACAATATAATGAGCTGCCACTGGAATAATTTTAACAGCTGTCGGACGAGTGGCTTAGGAATGACAGCAGTCTAAAGTTGATTGCAGTTTTTTTTTATCTCCCCCTGTATATCGAATATATTAAGCAAAATAAATCCATATGCCATAAATCTCTGCACTGCAAACCCTACAATTT